AACTTGCTTGTTTCACAAATGAGGAAATAGAGGCTTAAAGAAATCATGGCTTAAGATTGCGCAGGTTATTGTTAGTGTCTGAGGCAGTGTCCTAGTTTTCCTCTTGTCTGACTGTTTCTTTCCAGTCTCTTGGTTGATCTTCATCTAGGTTACTCTGGTGAACCATGGGTGTTCTAAAAGCTGTGTCCTAAGATCTCTTCTGTTGTCTCCCTTATCCTGTTATTTCACTTAGTGATCTCATTGGCTCTCATGGATTCAATGATCATCTCTATGCTGCTCGCTCTTAGATCTACTTTTCCAGCTCTAATCTGCCAGACTCACATTTAAACTGCCTATTGGACATCCAAACTAGATGTTCTATAGATATCTAAAACTCAACATGTCCCACTGTAAATCACAGATTTAGAACTGGAAGGCACCTTAGAATTCAACTAGTCTAACTCCATCATTTTACAGATGAGGAACTGACTCCTCAGAAGGTAAGTGACTTACCCAAGATCTTATAGATATTTAAGGAGCAAATCTAGGATTTGAACCCAGGTTCTCTGATTGTAAAACCAGTGTTCTTTCCACTTGGCTAATATGCCTTTATGCTAGAAGCACTAAAGACATCTTTTTCCCCCTTGTTCCCAATCTTGAAGTTAAAAAAACAAAATAGAGCTCTTTGTTTTATTTCGATGTTGATAGTTGGATTATATGGTTGTGTTAAAAACTGAGGTGAAATCTGAAGCCATTTATCATTATCATTACCATCACCACCATTGACATTTATATATCGCTAGCGCTTATAAAATATTTTCTTTATGATCTTGTGAAGATAGGTATTGTTTACACCTCATGTTGAGATATGTTTTTAACAATCAAAGACTCTTTGTCAACTTCTCCACTACCTATTTTTAAAAAATACATTTAATTGATGTCTTTTGTCTTTATATCATAATCATTGGGGAAAGGGACATTCTTCTTCCTCTTGAAACTTTACTTCTAACAAAAACAATTAAGTAAAAACCACATAAAATTGCGTTATCTGTTTTATAGAAGAGAAAACTGATGTTTAGAGAAGCAGCTTGTAAGAAAAGAAGTAGGTAAGATAGTGTCAAAAGAGCACTAGTCTGGAATTCTGAGTATACCATTATTCTAGTTCTGGATCTTAAATTCAGTTTCCCTATTCTCTATGTAACATTGGGTGAGTTGCTTTGTTTCCCTGGGTCTCAGTCTCTTCATTTCTAAAACAAGACAGTTGGATTAGATGTCTAAGATTTCTTCCAGCTCTAAAATAGGTAAATCAGGGTTGAGTTCATGTTTATACAAAGGATTCCTTAATTCACCCGAGGATTCGTCAACTCAGCTCCCATTTTAAACAGTAAATTTCCCTAGAGCACTTAAAGTGCAATTTAATAGGCACTTTTTCCTCACTACCTGTTGAGTGAAGCACGACATACACCTGTCCCAGGTACTTACATTTTCCTACCAGCAGTGTTATATTCGCAGTGTTAAAGCCTCACACTTGTCCTTTCTTTCACACACACTCCACTTCCCTTAGGGGAATCTGGTGGAAGAACTTTTCCAGGTTTTCTTACACGGGTGTGAAATTCATGTGAGTCTAATGGAAGCTCTTGAAGCTTCCACTTTATCCCATTCTTATGAAGATACCCAAAACTGTTTATTTGTCCTCCCTTGCTGTGTCTGGGTACCTGTTGGCAGTCAACTCTGGACTTGAATTTTCCCTAACTCCATTCTAGATTCTTCCTGGACCCTGTTGCTCCCATTAGCCCTATAACAGACCTAGTTTCCCTGGTCTCCTGTACACTCCTCATCCTAGGCTAAAGAGGCTGTACCTTGGCCTGCATTCATAGATGGGCCTCAGAGGCCATCTACACCATTCCTCACATTCTTAGATGAAAAAAAAAAAGAAAGGAAAAAAATGAGGCAGGAATGTTAAATGATTGGCCCAGGGAACACTAAGTAATAGGCACCGTAGGCCAGAGAGCCACTTTATTGTGCTGTCTAGATATATTCTGCCCTTTTCTAGGTCTTCTGTGTTTTGGTCTTTTGCCCTGGGCTGAGCCAGAACTGACCCTGTGTGTCTCATAACTCAAGTGCCTTCTGCTTTCATCCTAAGAAGATGAGAATTGCCTAGTCATGCAGTAAGAGAGGCTTTGTTTCTGGATTGGTATTGTTAGATGCTTCTGAACTATTTCCTGCATTAGAGAAGCCCTCTTCCTTTCTATTATATCTTCCTCCTTCCCCAGCCTAAGCCGTACCATCTCCCAACTGTCTTCTGCATTTGGGTATGTTACAGATTTGCTTGTGTTTAAAAGCCTTCAGAATGACTGTACCCTTCCAACTCTTGGTGGTCTGGGGAGGATAGGATCAAGCTTTTTAACCAAGCTCTAACATTTCCTCCATTTAGCTGTCTACATGACCACCTCCATCTTTAGTAGTGGTTGGGGTAATCTGTCAATTTTAAATACTGACCAAAGATACTAAAAGGTTGTTTGTTCCTCCAAGTGAGTGAGGAGTGTGTATGAATGTTTAAATGTAACTTATGTGAATTGCAGCCTTGTTCCTTGTGATCAGTGTAAGTAACCCAAGATTAGTTTAGATTCTAGGCCTCTGGGCTCCCGTTTTAACTGACATTTCCATGTGTTGTTGCTGAAATGCATGATCAGTGCTAGAAATAGTGGAGGTAGTTTTAAAAAACCTAGATAGGTAGTTTGCTGCCTTACAGGGATATTTGTGCCTTTTGTAGTCAGACACAACAATTTTCTGGAGAAATAATGAGAACTAGGTTGTTCAATCATTTGATCCTTCTTATGGAACAGAATGAGTGTGTTGGCTGGCTCACCTTGTCCTTACCAAATGAAATATTGACTGCTTGATTATCTGGTCCTTTGGAATTGTAAGGACAAGTCTATGCAAGGAACATGAAGGAAAAGGTTATTCTCACTTCTTCTGCCACACCCCCCTCCCAACTACAAAAAATGACTAATAGAGAACTAAAGGTAAATATGAATTTAAATTGTTACCTTTTTTGGGGGATAAGCAGGTACCTTTCTTAAGTTAAAAACAGAACTATTTTGAGAATTACTGTACACTTTCTCCCTGTTCATCTTCACTGTTAGGGCCACCAAAAAACAAAAACAAATGAAAAAAACAGTTCTTTGAACACCTCTGTTGGAAGATAAGTTGAGAAAAACAGTCCCTCACCCTAGGACATTTTAGGAATCTCCTATCATCATATATCAAGAGCATTCCTTTAGAAGTTGTCATAACTGAGAACACAATAGCCTTCTTATATATAGCACCTGCGTATTCATGTGCTTGATATGAGAAAAGATACGGTGAGAACCAAAGGCAAGTTGTAGTTTTAATAGTAGACCATTGAATTAACATCATAAAAATGACATCTCCACAAGTCCATATTGTAGTGGAGGAATAAAAGTAAGAGTTGATGTCAAGACTTCCATTTGTAAAGAGTAAACAATATTAAATGATGGTTATGTTTTTTGTGAAGAAAGCCAACACCTTTTAGCTCCTCCAAATAGATTTAGTAAGATCTTCTGTTGTAACAATCCTCTTATCAAACTAGTTGGTCTCTAGAAAAACAATTGTTTACACACCTCTGTCTGATTTTCATGTGATTGATCTTTGTTGGAAATATGAGCAGCCTTTTAAAATTTTTAATCCTCGTTTTAAGCCATTGTTCAAGGCTAATACGTTCAAAATACAAAGAATCAGATTTCAGACCTGAGTAGGAAAATTTACATTGTGACGTAACAAGTTAAGAGACATTTTTGCTTTAAAACAGTCACTGAACAGTGAGGCAAGGAGTATAAAAAGAAATTACAATTGCCTGGTCAGTCATGGATGATGACTTAATCATCATCACATCAGTGTTTTTCATTTGTCTTGACTGCCAAGAGTGAGTGCTCATTGTGATAACTTATTTGTAATTGCTCTTGTGTAGTAATAGTCTGTTTCATAAGGAAAAACACTTATCGAAGGGTCGTTTAGCATTTGGAATCAGTAGTTACTCGGCTAAACACAGATTAAGTTCCATTGCAAATGAGATAGAAACAGCAATTTGAAAACATTAATAACATTTTCTGGGTGGGACACAGGGCAAGAAAGCAGAAAATCATTTACAAGTTAGAACGGGCATTTCTTCTGCGCTGTTTAGGAACACTTATTTATTGAGATTTTCTCTGCCACCTAGCGGCAGAAAATTAATAAAAGCAGCTGTAGAAACCCAAAACTCGTTTTTTTGGTTTTAAAATAACTATTTGTGTGGGGTTCCAAAAATTGCACCATGTTAAAGCGATGCTTTAAGAGATGCGTGTGTGTTGTGTAGGCGTTAGCAGTACTGTCCTCACTAAACGTTCATTGGGCAGTAACGCAACCCCAAGAAAAGGATGGTTAGAAAACACATTTCCCTTGTCCTCAAGTGAGGAGGAGCGAATGCCAGGTTACCTTGTGGTGACTAACTCGCTGTGCAAGTCCATGCTGACAAGTCACGAAGGATGCTTCTGTTGACAAAATAACAAATTGAAACATCGGTGCCCTCTTAAGTAGTTGTTTTTAAAGCTTTCCTTGAGCTGTACCTGTGTAGATCTTTCTACCCACAATGCAGCGCGCCGCTTGGTTATTGCTATTTGCATATGCGGCCTATTCAATTCCGAAAGCGCTCAGGGAAGGGAACCGCGTTGGAAAAAGAGTTTTCTTTCTCTAGTCTTATATCTCGCGTCGGCTTCGCCCGCTCTCCCTTCCTCCCGCCCCTCCCGTTTTCTTCTCTGGCTTTACCTTCCTACTGAGGTTGAGCCCAGTTCTGTGCTGACGGGGGCGGGGCGCACGCTCCACGCGCTGCAACGGCCGTCCCCGGAGAGTCGCTCTTGCTTCTCACCGGGGCCGTCAGACGGGCCGGAGCCGCATCTCCGGGAGCGCTGGCGGCCACTGTTCGGTCAGGACCCTAATGTGCCCCCTGGGTTTTTGTCTTGTAGGTCGCACTTCTGGGGATGGACATCTTGTCGGCCCTGGTGTCCCGGCTGCAGGATCGGTTTAAAGCACAAATCGGCACAGGTGAGGCTCGCTCGCTCCCTCGGCCCCGCCCCTCCCCGCGCTCCGCCCCGCCCCTGCCCATTCCCAGCACGCTGCCCAAAGCGGCCCTCCTTCCCGCCCCGCCCCCCCGTCACGCCTCTCTACCTCTGTTCCCGCTCCCCCCTCCCCGCCACCCGTGCGCGTACGCGCTCCCTCTGCTGGCCGGCGGGTCTTGCTGCCATTCTCCGAAGCATCTCCGCCTCCGCGCTGGAGCTGATAAATAAAGGCTGGCTTATGGAAAAGGCAAAGTACGGGTCAGCGGCCTATGAATGCCGGCTCCTGTTTCATCTGCTTTGTTGTTAGCCAGTAACTCTAGTTAGCCCCTAGGTATTGGGCGGGGGCGGGGAGATCCTACAGCAATACCTCCAATCTGAGAAAAGCCATCCATTGCTGAGTTTAAACGTTTATACGTTAGTATAAAAGCAGTTACTTTTAGTGTTTATTTGCATTTCATTTGTGCATAGAATTTCAGGTGATTTTAAAGGCCATCTGTTTTGAGTTCACGGGTAGAAAAAAACTATACAGAATCCCTTCCAGTTTATACAAAGCATTTATCAAGTATCTTCTACTTGCTTTACATACTCCGTGTTTAGCTTCCTGGGAATACAAAGGCTAAAGGAAAAGCGGTCAGGTAGCTAAAATGGTGGGAAGGGAAAGGGGAGGAAGAAATACAACATGTAACATAAATATTTAGTGTAATTTGAGCCGGTAGTGAAGGAAAATGAAAATATTGACAAGATGAAAATGTCTCATTAAAAATCAAAAGCAAAGAAAAACCACAAACATTCATAGGAGCATAGTGGAAGAGAGGCTCAAGGCCACTCTAGTCCAGATTCATTTTCCAGTTAAAGTAATTGAAACCTGCAAAAGTGAAAGGATTTGCCCAAAGTCACATAACTAGCACGTAGCAGAGGTAGCATTCAGACCTAGCTCTTTCTGACTCCCAGGCTAGCTTTTTCTTCATCACTGCAATCCTGGGACTTGAATCTAAATCCTCCACCCTGATAGTTTTGGAATGCATTTTAAAACTCATTTTCCACACACCTGGGAAAATAAGATGATTCTCCTTAATACAACCTTGATTTTGGCTGGTAGGGTAATGATTACATGTATATATTGTTTTGATAGTTTGATATTCCTTTGGTCAAAGTTTTGAACATTTTTTCCTTACCCAATTGGTATATGGTTCTTTTGACTTACTTTAGAAAGAGCTTTTACAAAGTGATAAATTTTTTATCTTTAATATAGCTTATTTTCCTAGACTAGTTTACCCTGAAATAGGGTAAAATAAATTTTATTTCACAAAGAATCTTTAGCTTAGTCTTATTCAGAGGCAACCTAGGTGCCATTCAGGCATAAAGGGCTATTTCTCACTTATTCAAGGGAAAGATAATGAACAACTGATATGGTTAGGATCCTGGTCTTCTAGTCAGGAAGACCTGAGTTCATAATTTTTTTTTGTGGCCATGGGCAATCATTTAGCTTCTCCTAGGTTCCATTTCCTTATCTTTAAAAATCAAGTGGGGTTGAATTATGCTCCTATGATCCACAATACAGAGCTAGTATTTTTTTGTTGGATTTATAGAGGACCCCAACAGAGCCCCTGCTGTGGAGGAAAAGGGAAACACCACTGGGTTGTCATGACACGACCTCTAGGCTTAGGAGACTGATTTTGCTAATGTATTCTCTTCCCCTAATCACTTGCCCCTCTCCTTGTCACTTAGGCAAAGGTGGTACTGGGAGGCCAAAATGACTTGTTTCCCCTGTTTTGATTTTTACCACTTTCTAAAACTTGTATTTAAACTTGAGTTCATCTCTGTGAAAATGATCTATCCTTCATAGAAATTGAAAGAGTTTATTAAACTTGGTCATTTTTCTGACTGAACTATTTCCTTAAGGGCATAATAATTCACACATTCTCCCTAGATTGAAATTTTTGTGTTATCTTTGTTTTCCTTTTCCTAGACCGCTCTTCTCTTGTACCTGTGCCCCCTTCTCTTCCCCTTTTACCTTTACCACCATCTTAGGATAAACCCTTACTACCATGATGTTGACTGCAGTGGCCTCTGGCACAGATCTTTTTACCGCCTCTTTTTATCTTCAGTCCATCCTTCATACTATACGAAACTTTTCCTGATTTGCCCCTAGTTTTTAGAGCCCCCATTCTCTTCAAATTATGTTGTATTTGTCTGTTTAAATGATGTTTCTTCCCTGTAGAATATAAATTCTTTGAGGGTAGGTATTGTTTTTGTTTTGTCATCTTCAGAATCTTGCTTATAGTAGAGGCTTGATAGAGATTTGTTGTTGAATTTGATTCACTGCTTCTGCTAAAATAATCTTGCTTATGCCTGGATCTGTCTGGTCATTTCAGCCCTTTATACAAATGTCTTTAGTGGTTCCCTATTGCTTGTCAAATAAAATTCAGATTTTGTTTGGCATTTTAGATCTTCCCTTCCCCTTCTTTCCCTCATCAGATTTAATGCCTCATACTCCTTCGGTCCTGTATTTTAATCTCCAGACAATGAACTGTCTCTGTTACCGAAGAACGTTTACTACTTTTTTTTAACCTCCTTTTTACCCAATTATCTGTATAATATATGACCGTCTTCACTTGTTGAATTTCTTGTTTATTCTTTAAGGGCCAGCTTGGAGAAGTCCTTCCTGAGTCTCCAACTCCCTTTGGCCTCCCTTCTTCCTCCCATAACATCTTTGTATTTAGAATCCAATGGTTATGTGATCGTTAGTTTGTCTTGTAACGATCTTTGTATAATAGCCTGGGGTAGTAAAAGAGCCCTGGCATCAGGAGATCTGATCTGAGGAGATCTGAGACTGTAGGCCAATCCCTTCACTTCTCTGAGACACACAGTTTCCTCATCTATAAAAATGGGGCTGAACTTGTGATGTCAGTGATGTCAGGAGCTCCTTTCTCTTTCTGCAAAGAACATTGGTACCTTCTCTCTGACTTACAGCATTAGAGTTTCTGGGGGCCCTAACAGGTTAAGTGGGATGTCCAGGGCCACACAGATAGTAAATATGCCGGAGATGGAACTTCTTGGTTCAGAGGACAGCTCTTACCCATTGTCCCACCCCGCCTCACTGGAGAGAATAACTGTATTACTCATCTCTCACTGTTGTCGTCAGGAGGGGACTTGGTAAACATTTTAAAAATTAATATTAGTGATGGCTGGCATTTCTTTGGAACTTTCAAGTTTTGCAAGGGGTGTGTGTATGTGTGAAATACTTCCTCATTTGATCCTCAAAGCATGAGTTCTTTTAAATGCCAGTTGTTTTTATTTTTGAGTTCATCTAGCCTAACATGATATGCTTCCTGCAGGGCAATAGGTGCTTGAAATTCAGTGAATTTAATTGGTTACCACAGCCTTTTGATTGGATTGATTTTCATTTTGCTTTTAGTGCTACCCAGTCTAATTGACAGGTTGGGCGATGCTAAAGATTCAGTGAGAGAGCAAGACCAGACTCTGCTGCTGAAGATGATGGAACAAGCTGCCAACCCTCAGGTATGATTAGGTAGAGCCTCCTTACTGCCCAGCAGCCAGCTCACCTAAGACCATGGAAAAGCAGGCTTTTCATTGTGAAAATCCAGAGTGCTAGAAATGTGTCTGTTAAACTATTGCTTTACCTTCTGCTCTGTTTCCCGTTGCAGTTAAGGTATCTGAAGCATATTAATGAGGTTCAAAGTGTACAATTTAAATAGTTAGTAGAGTTAACATCCATGTCAACTGCTTTTTGTTTGAGGGTTTTAGAATCCTTAGTTAAACTGTTCAATTATGGGAAAATGCGGCAGGGTTTTTGCTCAATGTTAGGAGATATTTAAAAGAATTAAATGAGTTCACCTGAGCCTAGAAAATAAGTTGTTACCAATTCTCTTGTTACCTGCTGTTTGCTCAGTATATCTTTTTACTTGTAGGTGGAGGGGGGAAAATGTCTAATTTCCTCTGGTTCATTCCAACTTTCCATGTCTTTTTCAGTATGTGTGGGACAGAATGTTAGGAGGGTTCAAACACAAGAATTTCCGCACCAGGGAAGGTGTTTGTCTCTGCCTTATTGCAACACTGAATGCGTAAGTTTGGGCCTGATTTATACTTCTCTTTGTAGAACATGGTGAGCTTTCAAGACATGCATTCATTGTCATTCAGCAAGTATATGCAAAAGCCCTGTGCTTGGTGCTATATCCCCTATAAACTCAAAAAAAGTATTATAAAATGTAGTCCCTTGAAATTAATAATGATAGATAGGTGATTAGACTTTATAAAAAGGGAAGCATTTAAGTAACAAGTATATTAAGTGCTGTGTTAAATCCAATGAAAGCGGCTATGTGCTTTCAGGGAAAGTCCCAAAAACTTTATGGACAGCTATGGAGGCTGGAGCTGTGTCTTACAGAATGGGTATCAGTGGAGACTGAGAGAAAGGGGAGGGGAGAGGTATTTTTTCCAACCCTTCCCAATGCCCACACTAATTCGTGCTTTTGTTTTCAGCTCTGGAGCCCATACTTTAACGCTAAGTAAGATTGTGCCACATATATGTAATTTACTTGGAGATCCAAATGGCCAGGTAAGTTTAACATGAAGAAACATTGGGGGAAAACGTAACCGTCTTAGAAAGTTTACCTAATTTTGGTATCCTGACTGTATTTGATAGGATTTATTTGAACTCTCTTGTTTGTTCACAATACTTATTTGTTAGCAATATTTATGAGGTACTCAGGGTAATGTGCCATGTATAGCTGATGTGCTCTATGTGGTACCAGACTAGTATCTCAGTCCTTGGCTGAATTTCATCCAGACTGTAGAATCATAATAGTGTTCTGCCCACAGTTTCTCTATCTAATAGAAAAATTGCTTCCTTGCAGGGCTGATTATTTCTATCAGCTTATTAACTCTGAACATTTAAGGACAAAAAAAAATAAACTCTACCAATAAGTTTGTTCAATGGAATGAAGCCTGCAGCCCTGTTAAACCACTGTGAGGTTTAGCTTCTCTGGAGTAATAGCTCAGTACAATTTCTCTGTGTGGGCTTTCCTTTCCCTGACATTGGCTAGCCTTGTTTTATCTCTTCCTCTTTCACTTCTATTACTCTTTCCTTTTCTGTTCATTGGTCTTCTTCAAGTTAGTCAAACTTTTTGGGCTGCAGCTTCTTCCTCTGTAACACAAGGGGGCTAGACTAGTTGGTCCCTACGGCCAGCTAATTCCAACTCTTTAATCCTGTGTTCTGATGGCTAGATGATCTCTGTGGTCCTTTTCAGTTCTGTATCTGTGATCCTGCTCAGTCTCTTACTTCTTTCTTTTTCACTTCTGTCCTCTCTCCCTCTCATACCTTCCATTTCCCCCCAGTACCTCTTCTCAGTAAGACATTTAGACCCAGGTCTTCCTGTTTGTCAGCACTCTTATACACCAGACTACTTCTTTTAATTCACCAGGAATTGAATGAGGAGACAAACAGATAGAAACACCCAACAGTTGGAATGATGAGCTTAACACCCAAGCTTTAGAGTCCTTTATTTTTTGTTCCTTCTTTCTCTCTCTCTCCATTTTCCTGTGGGAGAATTTACTTGCTCATCTGGATTTCAAGTGCTGTACTCAATGTCATTATGATGTTACTTTCAGTTAATTCTCTCAGAACTTGGATGAATGAAAAAGCAATTATTAAGTGCTTACTCTATTCCAGGAACTGTGCTAGGCACTGGAGATATACATATGTAAGCAAGACTTTCTCGTTCAAAGACCTTGCATTCTCATGAGGGAGTAACACTTAGGGTGATGGCAAGAGAAGGGATTGGGGAAATCATAGGAATGGCGAGTAAGGCATTAGGTTGGCGTGTGTGTGTGCATGTGTGCTTGTGCGTGTGTGTGTGTTTGTTTTGGAAGGGGTTTGCGGAGCATATCTCCAGATGTCTCAAGATATTTGGATTAAATGCATGTGAAACATGGTTGGGTCCAGCTGGATGGAGCAGGTTAGTTTTCACTCATTCACTTGCCAGTCACGCTCAGACACAGGGAAAAGTTCCAAAATTGAGTGGATTAAGTCAAACATTTTACCTGGGAAGGGAATTAGGCCAAGATGTTCTCAGGTCTGGAGAGGGAGGGGGAACGAGAAGCGAAAAGATTGGCAGGGCAGAGGCAGGGAAGACAACAGCTTAATGGTTGAATAAACAGAAATATCTGTGGCAACTATAAAAATGGCTTAAAAACCCAAGTTGACTTTTTTGCTTTAAGTTCTTTCAGTGTTTACTGTCTACTCTCTCTTCCCCTCTCCATGTCACAAAACGGAATTGAAGAACATTTTTATGTATTTGTTTTACATATCATTTTTTATGTTGTGCTAATTTAGAATATTCTGGATATATCAGTGGTTCTAAAGTCTGGTACATTTAATGTTTTATGAATCATTTGGGATTTTTAAAAAACTTTTTCTTTGTTATAAGAGAGGGATTTATGGGGGAGATAGCCAGATTTATGAAGTAACTGGTTTTTTAAAGGCAGCAGTAAAACTTCTTAAAAGAAAAACATGCCCCATTAGTTACTGTTGTGGCCCAGGGAGATTAAGCAACTTGCCGAAGATTACACACAGTAAGTAATAGAGCCCACCTGGAAAATAACTCCCGATTCTAATATTCCAAAACCTTAGGCTAAGTTTCTTTATGTTTTTGAGGCTTAGTATTTTCATCTGTAAAATGATGAGTTTGCAGCAGATAGTTTCCAAGGTCCCTTTCAACTAAGATTTAGTGACTTGACTCACTACTTCCGTTTTCCTGTAGGTCAGGAGAACAAAAAGGTTCTTACCTTTACCTTGCTGGTGACTTCTGACTTTATTGAAAAGGCTAATGCTGTCTGTTGTTAGGAGAACAGATTACTTCAAAATGCTTTTTAAAAAATTGTTAAATTCGGGGGCAGCTAGGTGACGCAGTGGAGAGAGCACCGGCCCTGCAGTCAGGAGTACCTGAGTTCAAATCCAGCCTCAGACCAAACACTTGACATGTACTAGCTGTGTGACCTGGGGCAAGTCACTTAACCCCGAATGCCTCACCCCCCCAAAAAATTGTTAAATTCCTACAGTGTTAAGTGTGAAAGAGGTAGTCCAATGTAGTGATAGTACATGAGACTTGTGATCAGATCTGGGTTGTAATCCTGCCTCATATATTTACTAGCTTGGTGACCCTGGGCAAGTTGCTTAATCTGTTGGTAAGTGATTGGGAAATGTCATTTGAAAATTAGCCACAAATAAACTATGAAGTCATTAGTTCATCTCTCAGTGTTGAGAGTTGATGAGGTGTCAGAAGGTAGTTTCCTTTTTTCTGGCTCATTAGTGGAATTTGAAGTAGCCATTAACAAAATTCTGTTATAAGATTTCAGTCTGGTCTTTACACATACGTGACATACTGGTGAATGTAAACAGTGTCACCAAAGCAGAGTGGTGTTAAGAAGGTACAAAGAACTCTTAACGTTTTTGACTCTCTGAGGAAAATGTCTGGGGAATCTGTTTGAGAGTTTCAGTCTTTTTAGGAGCTAGGGTTACCAGTGTTGAAAACAAAAACCAAAATTTGGTAAAGGTACTTTTCTCTACTCTGGTTTACTTAATAGTGACTCAGGCTCTAGACTGTAAGAGCTAAATGGAATTTTAGAAATCTGGTTGAGCCCTGTATTTTACCGGTCAGGAAACTGAGGCCCAGAGCAAGAAGTCACTTGTCCAAGGTCACACAGTGATTTACTGGAGGAATTTGGAATAGAGCTGAGCTTTCCTGACTTGCAGACCAGGATTCTTTCTGTTATGCCTCAGTAGTGCTTTGCACTCCATACTGTGCATGGAGCTAGTGGTGGTAAAGCTTATTAACTTCAGGGAGAATGCCTCTGACAAAACCTCTTTTGAGTATGTGAATCCTAGGTCAAGCTAGTCCTGTCATGTTTATTCTCAAAGAGTCCCATCAGTGTTGATATTTTTGAAGCATTAGTCCCTCATTTTGTAGGGAAATACAATTTTAGTTTTTAAGCTGAGAGGGGACCTTAGATAACATCTGATCCAGTCCTTTCATTTTATAGAAACTGAGCCCAGGAAGATTAAGCAACTTGCCTAAGATTACACAATAAGTAATAGAGCCCACTTTGAAGATAACTCTGATTTTAATGTTTCAAAACGGTAGTATTGCTTCCTTATAGAACTGGAATATGTACATTGCACCAATGTACAATTTTAGGTCAGATGTTCTTATAAAGTTTTTTTTTTAAATTAGATATGCTTTATTATATATTTATTATACTTTTGTACTTTGCTTGTCTTTTTCTAACATACTATCTCAAAGGACAGTCAGTGGATTTGGTTGTAATCTTTAAAATTAGTAATTTCCATGATTCATTTCCAAGGTGTATATGTCTGACTTACGCACACATGTATACACACACACACACACACACACACACACACACACACACACACTAGTGCTTTCTGTCTTTAGATTAACTCCTAATTTATCCTGACTGTATCTTCTTTGTACATAGTTTGCATATTTGTCTTACCTATTAAATTGTGAGCTCTTTGAAGGTAGGGTTTACTTTTTGTCTCCTTTGTATCCCCAGTCCTTAGTATAGTGACCGACACATACTAACTGCTTTATAAATGCTTGTTGATTTGATACATAGAAAAAACAAGCATTATAATCTTGCAAAAACCATTAGTATTTAAGATTGAACCATATTAAAAAAACAACTCTTATTGTACTCTTACAGGTTTGTCTAAAGTTCTGCTTTGTCTACCTTCCTACCTCACTCTGTGTTTAGTTAAGTCTGTCTCTCCCTCCTTCTTTTTCCCTCTCTCATTCTTCTGTCCCTCTTTCTGCCTTTCCCTCTGTTTCTTTGTGTCTCAGTTTCAATTCTCATTTTATGTAGTTGTAACTAGTGTGTTTAACCATTGTGATGCTTTTCATCTTACTTTGTATCATCTAAGTCCAAGTGCTGACAACAATAGCAAAAGGGCATCAGATACAGAGAAGTTTTTTTGGCCCCATCAGGTTATGTTTATAGATGACAGTCCTCATTTTCTCCATTAGTAATTTTAAAATTATGCAATAGGTATACTAGAACTTGGGCGTGCCTTGTGATATTCTATCCAGAGTAAAAAATAAAAAGTATTTAATCCTGTCTTAAGCCAAGGGTTTTTAACCCCAGGATTTTTTCCTGACTCCTTTATTAATTGTTCTTAGTATATTACACTTAGTGGCTGCCTGACTAGTGAATGAGTAGAATACTATACTCAGGGTCTGGAAAATTAGCCTCTCGACATTTACTTGCCATTTGACCCTGGACAAGTCACTTAAACTCTATATATAGATGGCTACTTCCTAGGATCCATCTACTAAGTCATGGACAGGCTGCAATCTATGTTAGTAGAGGGAGTTCCCACATAGCTGTTCTTTACCCTAATAAATTTGCAGATCCTTTGTGTATAGCGTTATGCTGCTTCACTATTTCATGCAACTAAAATTGAAGAGTTGTGATTTTGTTTTAAAATTTTAAATAATATTCTGACATAACCCTCCTCAAAGAATAGAAATGCCATAAATATTCTAAGGAGTGTGTCCCTTCACATGGAAAAACTCCATGATAGGTACCTCAATTAATTCTTTAGTAATATTAATGTCCTAGATTACTCTCTTTATCTAGGTGAATGTAATTAAGAGCTTGTGACTGCAATTGTTCCTGGGTAAACGTGACATTTAAAAAGGTGGGATGGTTTGTGATCTACTGTTTTTTCAACAAGAAATGCTATGAAGTTTCAAATAAATGTTATAAGATATCTTCTTTTGTGTATAGGTCCGAGACTCAGCAATAAACAGCTTAGTGGAGATTTACAGACACGTAGGAGAACGTGTGAGGGCAGACCTCAGTAAAAAAGGATTGCCACAGTCTCGGTGAGTTCTTCTACGCTCTTCTGTTTTTAGTGCTTTTCCCCCATACTTTTCTTCCACTTAACTTTTCTTCTTATGGTATTTTTAGAAGTAAATTCAGGATAAAACTAGCATTTTTTTTTTCTATCTACATAACTTCTCTTGTACCAGTCTGCTTCTCACTCACCCTAGTTGAAACCCCCATTACCTTTGGCCAGGACTATTACAACAGCCTCCAGATGGGCCGTCTGGACTTAGGTCTGCCTTCTCCAAACCGTCCCACAGACAACAGCCAAAAATGGTTTTCTTTCCTAATTTGCATGTCTGAGCATGTCATTCTCCTACTCAATAAACTTCAATGGTTCCCTTTTGCCTCTGGCATCAAATATAAACTTCTGTTTCGTTTTTAAAACCTTTTATAATTTAGCCTCAGCCTGCCTTTCCAACCTCCCCCCTGCCATTGCTCCTTTTCCATGCTCTTTGTCCGAGGCCTGCTGGCTTTCTTATGGTTCTTCACACGTGATACTCCACAGCTTTTGACTGTCATGCATGCCTTGGAATGGCCTCCTTCCTCAACTCTTAAAATCCCTTATTTCCTTCAAAATTCTGCTCAAATGCTGCTTTCTACATGAAGTCTTCCCTGATTGTCCCTTAGCTGCTAGTGCCTTCCTCTTACCAATTTAATTTGTTTTTATTTTGTATATATTTATTTATGAACATGTTGTTTCCCTCAAAAAAATATTAATTTCTTAAGGGCAAAGAACGTTTCTTTCATTTTATCTCTTTTATCAGTCCCTAGCAAAGTGACTAGCATATCAGTGCTTAATAAATGCTTGTTAATTGTTTAAAATTAATGTTTAATTCTGGAAAACTTCTATTAAATGGGATTTTCTGGAATCCTGGAAATGGAATTCAATCCCACCATTGTGTTACAGTACACAAACCTCTTTTTGTATCCACAGTGTTTATCACAGTGCTTGGAACATAGGTCATAGTAGGTACTTAATAAATGTTTATTGATTTATTGATTTAATAGTGATAATTTCCATGTTATCAGACCCTTCACAAAAATATGTGCCAATTATAAAAATAATGAATTGAATTTGTATAAATTTTTGCTATGATGGAAATTATAATGTCCATAGAATCTCAAGTCATTTTGCTTACCTCCAACCTGCTCTGTGGGAAGTCAGGGCAAAATGAGAAAGATTCTTAGAGCTGGGAAAGACTTAAAAGATCTTATTCAATTTCTGAATTTTATGGTCCAGGACACTAAGGCTCAGAGAGGCTCAGTGATCTTCCTAATTCCCACATGGCTAGTCAGGAACAGAACAGAGCTGAGGACAGTCCTGCGCTCCTGATGAACAGGTCACAACATTCCTTTCTCTGTTCTGTGGGGCCCAGCCCCTTTTCCTTTCTTTCTTCCATCTGCCTTGTCAAAAATAATGACATGAGTAGAGATAATCTGGGTCTAGCAGCACTGTTCATATACTGGGAGCTGGAGTGAATCGTAGACGTTCCTTAGTCCCTTCACTTTACAGATGGTGAAACTGAGGCCCAAAGATTAAACTTACCCCAGATCACACAAATAGTAGATGACAGAACCAGGATTTAAACCCAGTTCCTCAGCTCCTTTTCTCTACATCAAAACTAATCCTTGGTTTGTTATCACCATTGATATTCTTCAAACAGATGTGCTGAAAGAGGGTCGTCTCCAATAACAGACTCTATGAGAATATATTTTCTGAGTTATATTGTGGCCCCATCCCCTAAATCCCAAAGACTTTTCTTAAACAGCCAATTTACAGAATAATTTTGAGAGTTCATGATATTATTTCAAACAGAAGTACGAGAAATTACACGGATACGTTAATAGCTGTGGTATGTTTCCTGAATCCCTAGAAATGGAGGATTATCTTCAGTAAGGGAGTGGGTTGGTTTTCAGGTTTCATTGACATTGGAGTAGAGCTTTGTGACGCAACCTTTTGATATAACAGATGAAGAAACAGGGACCCTGAGAGATTAAGGGACTTGTCTAGGCTTACGCAAATAGTGGGTAGCCAAGCTGAGGGTGACTAACTTGGATCCTCTAACTCCAGATCCGCTTCCCTTGGAGAAGTAAGCTGCACTTTCTTTGAAAACCTTCACACCAGTGGAAGAACCTGGTTTGTGGTTATTGTTGTTGTTGTTGTTGTTTTTCCCTTGTTATTGAGAGAGGTTTCCCGGTGCCTTGGACTCTGGCAGCTTACTTTCTACTTCATTCTCCAAACAGTATGTGGCCCCTCATGTTTCATACCATCATTTTAGAAGTTAAGTTTATGATATATTTGGCTGTAAGTGGCTGCCTTAAGTATTTGAATATTCTGGAATTCTGATACATCATATTAGAATCTTTTGTTGTTGTGTGAGCACAGTAGATTTTTCTGTTTAGTTTTCACATTTCCCTGACTGTTTATTTGGGCCAGCTGGATAATGAGGGATGAGACAACAAAGTGAGTTTTGAAGGTAGGGAAGGATGCTTTTGATGGATCATCAGAGAAGAAAGTCTCCACTTTGGAGTGATTTGAGGAAGGCTTTAATTTCCCTTCTTTGTTAGTTCCCCCTCAGGGCTTTCCCTTTTCTGTCTTTCTCTTCATCTTTTCTGGTACTACTAGTAAGCAGCTATTTTTCTTCATTTTATTGTACTTGGTAATTTCTTTCTCTTGCAGGATTTTCTTATATAGAGTTCACTAAAATAGGTTTGAGAATTACTGTTCTTCTGTGAAATCATTTTGAAACAGTGAAAAGACACTTTCCTTAATCTTAGATTTGAATGAACTTTTATATTATATATATAAATGTATATACACACACACACATATATTTTTAGGACAGTTTTTAGGTTTTAGCATGGTTTCTTAATCATTTTCTACCTTCCTTTATGGGGAAAACAACATAGTTTTTCAATCTTGTGTGAAAAAAAAATCAAAGTATACAAAATCAGAACTGAAGAACTAAGAACTAAAAATCTTTGAAATACCAGTCTGCCTAAGGATAGAGGCTTTGTACACTCTTATTTTTATCTGTATCAGTAGAGTGGGAGATTTATTGTGAGAGCCTATAACTCTTCATGAGAGAAGAGGAGACATAATTTACGTTTCTAAGGTGAGCATTGAAGGAACCATGTGGTATATTTTGTCTATACTAACATTTGATTCAGGTAGTGTAATTCTGGGGGAGAAGCTGAATAGCTACTGTGCAACATCTAATCCCTCAGTGAAATAATTATCATATGTCATTCTGTTGCATTTACAAAGAATTTGCACTGGAATAATTTTTTTCTGTAGTAAATAAACTGTATAACTTCATTTAATGGCACTGTTGAAGATAGAATTCTGTTACTGAGGTGGGAAAGAAAATGCTCAATTTTACGGTGGGGGTCATGTCAATTTAGTAACTTCTGACTGGAAAATCTGAAATCTAAATACTGTCAAGCACATGTTGAAAACACTTGCATAGCAATTATTGTCTCTATCATTCCTACAGTACTCATGCTTTCCTGTCTTGTGTTATCTTTTTCTGTGTGTTTGGCTTGTCTCCTCAACCTAACTGTGAGTTTCTTCCGGGTAGTCTTCTCTCCGTGGCACCAGCACAGTGCTGTGAGCCCTCAGTGGGTACCCATCAATGCAGCTTCTTCGTTATTGTGAGACGTGACTGATTTGTTCCTGTCTCCCTTCCCCACTCCTACCCAAAAGTGCATGGATTGAGTTTTTAACTGAACTACAAGTGTAACACTGAATCAATGGTGTAAATACATCTAAAATGATATTGCTGGAGAAGAGTGCTGGTTGTCTCAGACTATTTTCACAATTCTTTTGGTGCAACACCTTAAATTCTGTCATGTGTAATTAGGGACTTGGTTAAACATTTGCTAGAAACAACAAAATGGTTTATAATGTAATGTCGTGTAATTGTGTTTCATGTATATGTCCAATTGCTTGACCATTCCTATTAAGTTAAGTAGGTTTGGTGTGACATTGGTGTGAAGAGGTCATCTGCTAGCAAGGTGAAATGGGAAGGGCCCTGGGTTTGAATCCTAGTCCTTCCACTTACTCCCAGGGTGACCTTGGAGAAAATCACTTCCCCTCACTGGGCCTCAGTTTTCTTCTCTATCAAATGAAGGGGTTAGATGAGCCAGGTCTTTAAGGCTCCTTACCACTCTTATTCTGTGATCCTGTGATCATACGAGTCTTGTGAAAGTCATTTTCTGTTTTGAGATCTGTCCTTTGATCATTTATTCATTGATGTAACAGTCATTTTTATTACGTTCCTGTTATGATCCTATGTATCAGGTATTCATGATACAAAGAGTGAGACGCAGTCACTTGTCCTTAGATCATCCAGGAGGAAACATACATAAAAATAAGTCAATACAAAATGAATACAAAGTACATACAAAGTTAATTTGGGGAGACAGGGCACTAATTACTGGAGGTGGAGTATTTTAGTAATTCTCAGTTTGCTCTATTTAATTTTAGTTATTCTAGATATGGTTGAAATGCCTTGTTATGGCAAGCAGAACACATAAGAATATACAAGAAACTATACACATTATTTTATTGTTTGGTATTTTATGGCACTTGAATATTTTTATACAGAGATCTTTTCTGTTTAGTGTTAAAGGCTATATAATAGGATTCAATTGGAATTTTTGATAATATCAGGGAAATACAGGAATAGGTAGTAATAATCCCATTTTACAAATGGGTGAATTTAGCTTTAATGAACTTGTGACTCATCCCTAGATGAATCAGCTTTTCTTTGGAGGAGCTGGAATGAGGGATCTATGCATCCTGATTTTGGTTGAAATGCCAAGATCTCTAGTTAACTGTCCTTATCCTTCAGAAGGATGAGTTGAGTTTAGCCTAATAAGTGAGATTAAGATGGGAGATAACTTACCAAAACCTTTCTCTGGGTTGAGGTCTTCCACATGGAATATTAGTGGTTCAGCACATGGACTTCAGGTTAGTAACCAGTGAATTAGA